ATTTTGCAAGATGAGTGGAAGACGCGCCAAGTTCTCGGCCACCCTTCGGTTGGGGGAAGATGTTGCCGCACATTCTACACTCTTTCCCTCCCCCGAAGTTCTCCACAGAGCGACCACGCACATCCAGCAACGACTCTAGACATGCCTTCCCCTTTGGATGGATTTCGCCCTGGATGACGACGGCAGCCCGCCGTAAATGCGGTTTCCCTAACTGTACGATTGAGCGAGAAACGGTTCTTCGAACCACAAAAAACTCTCGAATCAAGGCTTCTTACCTTTCGGGATCTCCCCGAACCTCGAGTCGAACGAGGGTTTGGTGTAGATTCTCCTCGTGTTGCCGTTTTCCGGCAAACCGGCTCTTCCGGCTTCTTCATCCCTCTGTTTAGCCCCGAGATCTGCGCTGGAAGCCGAAGAGAAGAAGCTATTCCACATGATCATTTTAACGCAAATTGTGTCAAGGCGAAAGAGAAGTACACTTCAGCTGTGATTCTGTGATCCTTGTCCACATGTCTGGCTAAGGATCGCTCGATGTTTTGCCTCCTCGCTCGACCGCCTTGACTCGGCTTGGAGCGCTCTCCGGTGACTATGTTTCAAAAGCCTACCCTCATGACTTTTCCGATTTCTTTCTTGAGGGATCCTCTGATGCAATCCCTCAAAAATCTCAAGCCTGACTCCCCCTCCCCTTCATCGACGAGGTCACGCCGACGCTTCGGTCTCCTCGCTGCTAGAGGAGAAACTCGCTTCAGCAACCAGGCTCTTGAACTGCATCCGTCTCGCCGACACGAAGGCACGAGATTCCAGTTCTGCCATATCGCCTGAATTCGATTTTCAGTCCGCATGACCGAGCAGAAAATCGCGCTATCTCCGCGGGAATCTGCCGCCCAAGTACCCCGGACTAGTATCGATTCTCCAGTCAGATCCGAATTGAGAAACCGTCGGATATGCAGAGGGGTGAGCGCAGAGCTCTCATCCTCTCGAATGACAGAGTGAGCTTCCTCGCGATCCCTGAGTAAGATTCTCGAAGAAGTCCTCGGATCCATCATATAGTCCCAGAGCAAGACACACTGATGGAAAATGGAGAATTCGTCCCCGACGGATCAGCTCTGCTCACCGAGAAGGCCCCGAAAATTTTGAATTTGTAGTTTGACAGGGGAACGAGGGGAGAGGGGGACCGAATTGCCGAGAACAAGAGCTCATTCAATGAGACGTGAGGAATCGTCGACGAACGTAATGAAGTATCGTTGACCACCGATGCTTGGTACGCTCATTGGACCACAAAGATCGCTGTGTACCAGTTCTAGCCTTGAGCTAGTCTTTGTCAGTGAAACTGGAAATCTCTTCCTAGTCTGCTTCCCCTCAGCGCAAGATCCGCACATCGGCAAACTACCAGGGATCCGTACATCGACACCCTTGGCCATTCCATTGGTCAATTTTCTAATGCCTTCCGAGCTGAGGTGACCGAGTCGTCTATGCCAAAGCTCGTATTCTCTTCCGTGAGCCGAATCTGCCCTGTGAGCCCCGACTCTCTCCCCGGGTGATTCAGTGTCGCTACTTCCGCATGGCAAGTTATCTTGAGGCGAAATCGAGCTAGTCCCCGGTGTCTCGGAGACCGACAATGATGAGCTATTCCCCGGTGTCTCGAAGACCGATGAGCAAGCCCCCGGTGTCTCGGAGACCGACAATGATGAGCTATTCCCCGGTGTCTCGAAAACCGATGAGCAAGCCCCCGGTGTCTCGTGAACCGAAACCTGCCATTCCGTGGCTCCCAAGTCGTTCGGACCTTTAGAGGCCCCAGGTCGCTTGACACCTCCCGAGTCCTTCTGGGCTGCTCCCGAACAATTTTGGGCCAAAAAAAACCCCGGTCGTTCGACACCGCCTGAGTCCTTCTGGAGAACTCCCAAGTCGTTCCGGGCCTCGGAGGCCCTCGGTCGCTTGACACTGCCCGAGTCCTTCTGGACAACTCCCAAGTCGTTTCGGGCCGAAATAACCCTCGGTCGCTTGACACCGCCCGAGTCCTTCTGGACAGCTCTCTTTCGCTCGCGGACCACGGAAACAGCGAGATCCTCGGGGTACTTCTCAAGCCGATACAACCCACTCTTGGATAGAAGAACCACTGCGCAGAGCTCATCATTCTCGTTTCTTACTTCGCATCTTCGGTTGAACTCCACTCTGAATCCTTTCCTCGTGAGTTGTTGTACTGAGATGAGATTCACCGTCAGGCGGGGTACAAACATAACGTCGCTCAACCTCGTGATCCGAGGAGCTCCATTGACATGGCAAACGATCTCGACAGTTCCAGAACCTTCCGAGTCCAACATCTCATCATTCGCAGTGAGGACCTGCCGCTGCCTTCCATTCTCGCTCAAGGATACGAAAAGATGTCTTCTTCCACTCATATGACTGGTTGCTCCTGAGTCGATGAGCCATTCGTCTGGTCTTTCGGAACACTTGAGCACACGTTCCAACTGTTTTCGGACTTCAGGGACCTCGGCTGCGATCCTCCCTTGCTCTCTAGCGTTATTTCTTCCGACCTGCGTTCCCTGTGTTGGTCTCCCTCTACAGAACTTCTTCATATGGCCCGGTTTTCCACATCGGTAGCAATCTCCGAAGAACCCTCGCGTGTCGGACGAACCTCGATTGAATGTTACTGCTCTGTTGCGAGAATTCTCTCCTCCATAGGCGGCTCGATGAATGGGTCTTTGGTCGAACGTTCCGATACCGGCTAGGGCAGTCTCTTTTTTCTGATTCGCCTGCCTAGCTGATTCGCTCAACAGTCTTTCCTCTACAAACTCGGTGGTCAAGTTCTCACAGGTAGAGAGACTTTGCATCAGAGGGGTGAAGTCCTCGGGAAGCTTCATGAGAATTAATCCTGCTAGAAGTCTATCCTTGATTTCGCTCTTGATCGCTCGGAGGCTCTGTGCAGCATTGACCTTCTTGGAGATGTAGGTTTCCATGCCCGGGCAGTCGTTATAGCGAATACTGGTAAGTTCCTCAAGGAGTGCAACTTCACGGAATAGACCTCTCGGTTGATAGAGTTTTTCGTGGCGATGCCATTTCTCCTCACCGGATACGGAGTCTCTTATGTTCGAGAACCATGTGGATTTGACTCCGGATGAGCCATTGCACCACGTGCCCTCTTGTCTCTCCGTTCATCATGTTTCGAGCCATCAACGTATTCCCAGAGATCGCAATTGAATAGATGGACCTCCATCGCGAACCTCCAATCCATATAATTCGACGCACCCTCGAGTTTTTCGAACGATGACGGAACGTTCACGTTTAATGAAGTAGACGATTCCGTTTTCTCCATGGCTTCTGATGGACGGGGAGCGGACTGCTTTGGCGGCGGTGGCTTCGATTCCGACTGATGCGAGCTCTCCTCCGACCTTTTTCTCGACGCAGCGGTCGACGAAGATACAAGGACTGGCGGAGATTCAGCGACTCGCGAATTCTCAGCGGATGGTGACGATTCCGAAGCTCCTCTTACTCTCCTTGATCGAGTCCGTGGCGGCATCGATGCACCTCTGATTGATTCCAGCACTCAGATTCTTCCATTTTCCGCTTCTGTTCCTCACGCACACCTCCAGATAATCTTTATGTCTCAATAGTTCACTTCCAGGTGGGTCCTGGGCCCATAACCTATTGGAATGAGGACTGAAGGAAAACACATGTGGTGTGGACCAAAGCTCAAGAAGCAGTATTTCGTTCACCTTTAATTCGCGATGACTCCGCTCATCTTAACCGTCGTAGCGGAGACAACGACTAGGCAGTTAGGGATATGCGCAACTTTCCACACAGAGTAAGGCACACTGATGGAAAATGGAGAATTCGTCCCCGACGGATCAGCTCTGCTCACCGAAAAGGCCACGAAAATTTTGAATTTGTAGTTTGACAGGGGAACGAGGGGAGAGGGGGACCGAATTGCCGAGAACAAGAGCTCATTCAATGGAGCTCTCGTTTCCTTAAGCGAACTCTCTCAATATAACTCGCGAGCTACGCCAAGTTGGCGCGAAGTTCAAAACCTGGACCAGCTCGCTGAGCGGAGGTCGATCATTGATCGGGGGACGCCTCCGAGAGAAACATAAAAGCTCGAATCCGATCCTCCCCGATCGCAATAAGGAGCCACCAATGAAGAAGGGCGCTGCAGTTATGAGATCGCATCAATTAGCAAGCTAGACTCAGCTCATGTCGCGGGGTGAAGACCAGGTAGATCCTTAAAGCCGAAAATTCTCGTTACTGCACAGAGTCACCGAAGTACCGGTCGCCCTAGGAGCCATTCCATCCTTCACCATGGCCCACCTAATCGAATCCCATCAGATTTCTGAGAAAGATGTCTCAGGCGCTGGATCGGAGACACATATCGAAGAAACACACAGAAGTAGGCCAACACTCGTCGCGAATCGCGTTTGTTTTGAAACAGGATCATTCGGCTTCTACAAAATTATTTTCATCTTGAAACATATGAAGGTGACGCCCGCAGCGCAGGAGCGACCCACGCCGGCGCGACGCCGGTCCTTACTCTGTATGTTCAAAGGTATTATCGTCGAGCGACGACCACGGCGGCGACCTCGACGACGGCATTCGTCAAAAGGTGCTGGAGACATCTAATGTGTCGAAAAACTCGCCCCGAAGCTCCAGAGCATGCGCGAACTCCCGTGACCGGAGAATCCGGGAATCGCACGACAGGTGCGGTTCGGAGAGACCAGCGACGCGGGATGGGAATCGCCCCCGCGAGGCAGCGAACGTTTAATTTTTCCCTCCGCGCAAGGTGAACGTTTTCCCTCTTCTCAGAGTCACGTGAGACTTCGATTGAACTTCTGAGAGTCTAAAGCATAGCTGCGTTTTTTTAGCATAGCATTCGACGTTTCTCGTAGCAGTTCCACTATATCGAGTCGGTTTAGGTTAGGCGCTGCCTTCCGGGCGTTACCCCGAGATTATCGAGGATAATCTAATAAGATAGACGATTTCCGAAACTCGTAGATGGAAACGAAATGAGTATCATACGACAATTTATTGGTCTAAAAGTCTCCGCAGGTGATCGTTCGATGGGTCGAGATTCAGTCGGCTTCACGCCTACTCTGGGTTCAGAGGGTCGCTCTCTGTCGATGTCGGCGAGTGAGTCTGGCGGATGCTTTTTCAGGTTTGGCAATCGCGAAGGAAGATGTGATTCAGTAACTTGTGATCAACAAAATGATGCTTCTCAATCGGAAGTTCTACGACTAGGTCTCCTTTCGGTCGGAATCTTCAGAGCCATCGAAATGTATAAAATAGTAACATATGTCTGGCGTCGCGTGGTCAGCCGAACGACCAGACTCGAAAGATCTGATCGAGCTCACCTCACGTGCTCGCCGCCTCGGAACCTACGTAGCGGTGCTTCTCAATGCCACGAGAGGAGATTTGAGAAAAACTTACTAGAGAATAAAAACTTTTTGTAAATAACACATTGACTCGACAGAATCGTGAGCAATCCTGCCGAACTCTGGGCCGGAAGGGATTTCCATCGAGACTTCGATCGAGTGGAGCAAGCTCTGAGTGAGATCAACTTGGGTCAATTGAGTTTCGAGAAAGCGCTCCTTGGGTTCTCGGATTCGGATCGAATCCGAAGTCACTCGACCGCATGGATATGCACAACAGTCGTTGGGTTCCGCGTGACCGACATGACGGCATCGTGGATCGTTGGGAAAAACAATGGCTCTAGGACAATCTCAGAAACTCCGGCTTTCCGCAAAAGAGAGTACACGGCTGAGCTGCAACCCGCTACGCAGATGGTGAGACCTAACTTATGATACGACTCAACGACTTCTTTCAGCACCTGGGCTGAAGTTCCGTCCACGAAAGTGATGCGACTGAAGTCGAGAATTATTGTTTTCGCCTTGACTTGCTGAGCTGGCCGCCAGACCACATCGGCACTATCGTTGTGTTTCATATCCTCAGCTATTGGGTTCGCGTACTGGTGGCCACCGATGTTCGTGCGGCGTCCGAGCTCAGTTCGGAAGAATTCCGCATTCCCGAAGTGCAGCGGTCCTCCAAAATGGAAGATCTTCACCCCCAGGAATCTCGATCGCCTGCACGTACAGCTTGATGGGCACGTAGAAATCGGTGTCAGGAATCATTCCCAACAAGTACGTCTTGGGCATTTGGATCTTGAAGACGAGCGTTAGCAGAGAGAAAATCACTCCGCATATCAGCCCCAACTGGACATTCAAGATCACGGTCGCGAAGAAAGTGACCAGCCAAACATGCTGAAAGAGGCGAGAACTCGATTGAGTATATGATGGATATTTCCATTGGAACCGTACTATTCTCTCTTGACTCCGATCATTGTGATGTCCGGGCATCGAATGCTCACCCCGTCGATTTTTGAAATGGCCCAGAAGTTCGTGAAGTCGCGAACTTGCATGAAGATCTTCTTTAGAGAAACTACGATGATCGAGGAGAGGATGACCGTTGGGATCTTCTCGAAGAGGGGTCCGAGGGCAACGATGGTGATCGCAATCAGCACAACGTTGAAAAAACTCACGAGCTGCAAAATCCCTGATTGAGTACCGAATCGAGATTGGAGATCGTAGCAATCAATCAGTTATCTGCGAAAACGGGATCGGTGTACGAACCTGAGTGCGGCCCCCTGCCAGGAACTGCAACGAGCTCCTGGGAACCGAAGCCCCGACCGGGAAGCAGCCGAAGAACGCACCGAATACGTTGCAGGCTCCGACGGCGAAGAGTTCCTGATTCGCACTTATCTGGTAACCCCTCTCTCTGGCCCAGATTCTACCCAAAGAAATATCGATGGTGACCGATACCACAGCGATTGCCAGAGCGTCGATGACCACAGCTTGGAAGAGCGCGCTGCTGATCACTGGCACCGTAGGCACTGGCAAACTGAAAATCAAGGCACGGGATTAACTCAATCCTGTCCGAGGCGGTTCATAAGAGCGTGTAAATATCTCTGTGTACGGGCGAAACTTGACAGCGCCGTGACTCACTTGTGTGGTATGTTTTCGATGACCTTGAAGTTGTTGCCCTTGAGATCGAATTGCTTCGATACTACAATGGACAAGATCACCATCAACATTTCGATGGGGAACGGCATGCGGATCTTGCGGAGAAGATATGGATCGACCATAATCTTCACCGCAAGAATGATGACGACGGCTATCACTGCGAAGACCAGCGTCGGCCAATGGGTTTCGTGGAGGACTCGGGTGAAGAAGTTGACGTATGTCTGGAATCCGGAATACCCAATTGAGCTTCTTGCGTAGACGGGGCACTCGATCCAATGCGGTGTCCAGAAATTCCCCAGAGAATGATTCCCAACCCTTGCGAAAATCCCACGGCGTGATATACACGGGCTTACCTTCACCAGCGAGAAAGCTCCGGAGTAGTGTTCAACTTCGAAGCCGAAGAGCCCACTGAGCTGTGAAGTCCCAATGTGGACCGATACGCCGGCGGTGAACCCCGAAATGAACTGGTCACTGAGGAACACGCTTAGGCCTCCGAGTTTCAGAAGCCCAAACAGGAGCAGGTACACTCCTGATAGCAGCGAGGTGGCCGCCGTCACATTGACGATCATGTCGTCCGGAAGGTCCAAGGCCGTGCGGGCCTTGAACACGACCTGCGACGTCATGATGCAGACTACGGCAAAAGCTCCTATGGAGTTTTGCCGCGATGTTCCCATCAGAATATACATCATCATCGGGAACATCGCTGTGTATAGCCCGTTGACGGCTGGCACGCCAACGATCAGCGCGTACCCGAAAGCTGTCGGGAGAAATTTCGCTTTAGAGCCAGTCGACCTATCTCCTCGGATTCGGTTAACTTTCATACATCTCAAAACGCCAATCAATCATTTCGAAATTTATGATGCTCCTCACCTTGGGGTACGTGGAATATTGCCAGCGTTATTCCCGCCAGCAGATCTGCGATCAGGTCGCCCTTTAAGTCGTGCTTGG